GTTAATTTTCGTAATGTACAAATAAAAGCAGATCAGGTCACATACAAGCAAATTTCTTCTTATAATGACAATATCCGATCTGTGCACCGGAATCTTTATAGTCTCTTGCTCCTCGGGGTATCGTCCGAGTAGTATTTTAAAATGAATTTGTAAGTAGCGTAGCTTGTTTTTATGTATTGTAACTTTTTAATAGATATAGCAAGTCAGATAGCTTGGATGAACTGCTTCCGATTTTCCCTCATAGTAGTAGCATTTTTAGGAGTCGAATTTGTAATGGCGATACTCTCCATAAGTTTCAGTTCATTTTATCTAGCAGTTGGGATGATAATTTTCAACCTACTTTAGGTTTCTTGCCTAATCATTTTCAACACAAGAACTCTTAGAATCCTAGAACATCACCAAAGAACAACTGTATTACGACTGTAAAATGGGAGCCAAATTGCTAATGGCATGCAAAGCGTCCCAAATGAAAAGCTCCATGCTGTTAGGACGATTCGCTTGGTATTAGCAGCAGTTTTAGCCTGTTATCTTCCAGTCAACATCGCAACTATTGCTTGGACTTATTTTAAGTTCAACCTACAATGCCTGCCAAAAGTCTTGGAACACTGACATCAATTTCCAAGGTCAAAACCAATCATCCCCCTCTCCCCCACGGAACAATGTTGGTTTACTATCAAACGGATTAGGATTTTAGGAAGCACTTTCTTTTGCGCTTCTTTTATGATATTTCTCTAAATCATCAACATTGTTTGAGTGGGAAGGGGGCGGAAGTAGCAAATTTTTTTCATGAATAGAATGAAAGATATCAAATGCAGCGTAAATTGGTGGGTGTTCCAAGTACTTTTGGCAGGCATTGTACATATCAAGCCAGGTTTCACATTAACGGTGCTATATGAGTGGACAAAGCCAATCATGTTGAGCGTGACATTTCTCAATTCTTTGATAATATTTCAAGGAAATAAAAAGATTCGTCGAACATTGTCGTCCATTTTCAGAAAGGACAGAGTTGATCATGAATGAAAAACTACATTATCTATTCTTTTTTTAGGCTACACGTACCACTTTGAACGATCAGAATAAAACACAGCCAAATTAAAAGATTAATTCTAAAAGCAAATATGATTCCTTTCATTTAAACATTTGAATATTTTCTCATGCACTTTCGACCACAAAACTGGCTCTCATCAATTTGAGACACAATATTAAGAAATTAAGCAACTTTTCTTTTTCAAAGTTAAAAGATTATTCTTCTCATTATGCGTTTTGGAATTAAAATCACGACTCTCACGAGAAAAGGCTTTCCAATGAAGATCTTTGTGTTGATATAAAAATATTTTTCTGCATTACGTTCTTGTAACATTCACTTATGAATACGATGTCAGTTTTTTTAAAAAACTAAAGAAAATCGGTAATCTCTCACTTAGTTGAAGAGCCTATAAAAGAAAGCTGCCACATTTTCCGTCTACACAAGTCGGAATCTTTTGTTCTGATTGACTCAACAAAGATTTAGAGGAAACATAGCAATACATAATAATTAGTTTAGTGTTAATTATATTGCATTGAATGGAGCGAGTGCTAGCTGTTACCTTTTAAGGAAGGGGTTGGGACAGCTAGACTTTACTAGGTAAAATTTGCATAAGACTCTCATTGGTGACACAGGAACCAACAAGCTTTTGAAGCAAAAACAAAATGTCTATGAAAATCCAAACCCTTAAACTTCACGTTTAGTTCACGATATTTTCAAAATACGGCAATTAGTTCTGGGTTGCCTAAGATGTTAGCTCTTCAAACAATATTTAAGTTTTTAGTGTAATCTTTCCAAAAAATTTTAAACATGGTTCTTGAAGGGTTGCCAACCTCAAATACTAAACACGAAATGAAAAATGTGATTCAACTGATCGTCAGAGTTTTGTCCAACTACCAAAAAGGCTGGTAATTTTTCAGTTATCTGATAAAAACTTTTATTTGTGGAAGATGTAATTGTATCAAACAATATTTACTATTATGCGCCAATGAAGACTGGAAAAGAAAACTATTCAGGTCTTTTACCTGCGCTTTTGGATTGGCATATTTCGATCCACAACTGGGTGTATATTTTCCATCATTTTCTTTCGAACCCTCATTGCCATAAGATAGCGTTTATGATACAATATCTACATCTCTTTAAAACGTAGCAAACGTAGCAGGTTTCTTGCTATATTCTTTTGCACTCTTAGAAAGATTGAATTCCCTTTTAAGAATAAATTCCAATATTGGCAGGGCCGCCGAGGCGGGGAGGTGGAGGTTTGGCGATGGAGGGTCTTGGTGTTGTAGGACGCTCCCCATGTCACAGGACTCGTTGTAATCACGTGACAGACACTTTATAATCCGCAGTTCTCTAATTCGCTAGTCAGTTATCTTTGTAACCTCGTTCAATTATAATTCAAGATATGAAAATGTAAAGAGTGTGTTTTCTTTGTTCTATCATCGAAACAATGTAATTAAAAGAAACTCTCACTGGGTGGGGGCTGTATCTAAAATGTACTAAAAAACAATACACAAAATCAACAGGCTATTGTTTTTAGAATGTTTACCCTCTCAAAGAAAGCGTTTTAGTTCCCTCAATCTGAAATATGCTCCTCGGTCCTTGAATATTTGGGCAATGCTCAGTTCCCACAAGATTATTGGGGCATGCTTAATTCTCACAAGGGAATATTGGAGCATGCTTAATTCCCAAAACTAAAGATGGACTGTACGGACGTGAAAAGACGCCTACATGAGAATACGATGCTGGCATGATAGTGTCAAGGCCTAGTCGAAGGAAATATGTTCTAACACTGTTTTGTTTCGCATGTTGATAAAGATACATTTTTCTTCTTGCTTGTTCGACAAAATAACCAAAGAAATTAAAGAACACGGAGTGAACTGTAATCGATCTTTGCTTTACTTGATAGTAAGTGCATTCTTTTGATATTTTTATTCTTTAGTAAATTTGCGACTTTGGATTGTGGCTGTTGGATACACATAAACATACGCCATAACAACAATTGGGAAATCGTGGTACTTTCTCGTATGTTTTGGTGATGCTTCAGGGATGACTCTCTAGGCTTTTCGCTTTACGAATCGCTCGTGAGACATTTTATATAATTTGGTTATGTCCTGACAAGAAACAAGTGGGAATTAACTCATTGATTAAATAAACGCTTCGTTCACTGGCTTTTTGGGTCAAGGATTTTATCTTTTGTTGCCGTAAACTTTTATCACAGAATTGATGACAGTTGATCCAATCATTAGAACTGCATTAAGCAGGCAAGCAGCCAGGCAAGTTACCAACTTTAAGGCCTATCTATCAATCTAAAAAATAATTTATCTTTGACCTATAAGATGAACCATTATATAAAATGTAATTAAAAAAATGAGATTCTGCAAGGAAAGGCAATCTCGGCAAAAGAGACGTTAGATCAAACGGTTGGAGAATTCCATATAAAAACTGAAGAGTGAGATGCCTGGTGAAAACAGTGAAATGATTCTGTGCCTGACGATATTCGCCAACAGTGATGGAAATCTGTGCACAACTCTCGTTGGATCCATCGCGGTTCTCTTTGCACTGATAAACATATCATCAAGCAGCCAGGCAAGTTACCAACTTTAAGGCCTATCTATCAATCTAAAAAATGGAAGCACTTCAGCAAAAATTCAATGTAAATAGTTTTTGTTTCTTATCTCGAGCCAACATTCTCTTAATTTAGCTAATGCCATCTACCTTATTGAAGGAGAGCAAATTTGTAAGCAGAAAGTAAGCAAATTTGAATTTGTCGTAACTTTAACTTAGCAAAAAAACTCACTAAAATAAAGTGACGCAAAACACTCAGGGAAAATCTTTCGTGTTCAAAACCACTGGTTCTTTATTAGAACCATACGAAGGACGTGTATCACAACAATATTTCACGCAGTGTTACGGCGAATGGATAAAACAATTCTAATACTAATCGAGAATGGTTGAGATTATTTTAGCTTGATCGAAAATGGGAATCGACTTGTGCAACAATAAGATAAAAAGCTGTTTGGCATCTTTCTTTATGCAGCTGCCACCACAATTTTACGGAACATTGATGTAATTGCTCGTCGGCATCTTGAATTGCCAAATATAATTATAACAGAATTTATTGCACCTGTAGAGAAGGCCAGCAAAGTAATAGTTTTAAACAGCATTTGCAAAATTGCCCTTTGTTGAAGTTTTAATTGGAACTTATCAAATGACCAAACGGTTGAAATGATGATGTGGGGCTCGTAACACAAGAAAAACGCCACCAATACCCAACGAATTGTTCTTACAGCAGAAAGCTGTCCTGTGGGGGAATCACCATCACGCACTCCTCCGTTGTTGCTGCTGTTATTGTGATTGTTATTGGTTTGCTGTAGTCGCACGATTGTGTTGATTTGGTGTGTTTTCAACTTTTTATAAATTATCGTGTATAGAACAATTGACCCAGATATAGCAAGAGTATTGCAAATAGCAATAGCTAGAAACAGCCAAGAGGATGCTATAAGCATATACGCTGTCGCTAGTCCAGAGGCAATTGCAACAAAGCACATGATCAGGACAACTAAACGAGATCCATTCATGCAAGATTGATATAGACTTGGCTTAGTGATATGAACATAGCGATTAATTGCTATGCAAATCATTATTTGAAACGAAGAATAGACAAAAACGTTGCTCATGAAAATTGCTGCTGTTAACATCCAAGCTTGAGATTCAAATTTTTGTACCGAACTAAAAGCATAGACAGGCAGTACAAATACTCCAAGGCATAAATCAGAGATGCTCATCGCCAGTATCAATCTATTAGAGACATTGTTAAGCTGTTTTGACTTGTGTAAACCATAGATTAACAGAGAGTTTGATGTGATAATAAAGAGAGAAATTAGAGCAAAAGCAACGGAGAAAATTGTTTTGCTGTATATTTCATCCATTTTCTTACCAGTATGAGCAATTGACGATAAAAAATATCGATCAATCTGCTTCTAGTTTCTTCAATTCTTTTGGTCACTGCTCGTTGTCACTTGCTCTGGTAAAAGCCAAAGTTATCAAATCTTAGAAACACTCCTCAATGGTCAATGCCTCGAGAAGAATTGAGCGTCCACTCTCTGTGATTATCATCCGGATAAAACTGTCGCTCGAGAGCATTAAAAAGAAATTACCTTGATGTTTGTTTTTCATTCCTGTTTTTTTTGTAAAATCATAGCTTCTATTTACACAAAACATTGCCGGGCTCTCTCGATGATTAATCAAAGGATCTTTTCAGCTTATTTGCTGACAATTCCAAATTCAATTAAGTCTTCTCTAATTTTCTGGATAAATAAACTGACATCATCACTTTCTTCGTTTTTCCAATTGCGCTATAATGATCAGAAATTAAAGGTTTTTTATTTGAATGCAGCAACAAGAAAGTTCATTAGTTGGTTTGTGTACTTAAAAAAAATTGAGTCCTTTCTTTGTTTTTTGAATATATTGTCAAATCCCTTTTTTTCAAACAGTGACAGCAAAATCGCTATCGACAGCAAGATGTTAACCTTTTTGCTTAATCTAGAGAAGAAGATTAAAGAATTGCGAGTTTTTCGGTAAAAAACAGTAACATGAAGAGATTAAAACACTAAATCACTAAATTGTAACAAGTAACATAACTCATGGCCTTGTGATTATCTTTGCGAGCTTTAGAGCAGATGCTTGAAGGATCTTGGGCTTGAGTCTGAACCTTGTGCAAGACAAGTGTTTCTGGACTTCTACTTCGACAAAAACGTCAAATCTCTTTCACCAACAAAGTTGCTCTCGTAGCGGCTGGCCCCTCAAGACTGACACCACCTTAAAGCTGACACGCTAGATACAGGACGGATTAAGACCCCGTTCACACTGCTCCGTATTCATATGAAAACGTGTAAAACCACTTAAAAAGGGGGTTTTACAAACGTGAGTTCGTATGTCTTTCGCAGAAACGTACACGATAAATACGGCAAAAACTGTTATTCAATTCTCTATACACTTCTTCTAATTCATCAGTTCACGTCAAACGACTAAAGAAATCTTAAACGGCTAACGACGACAATGTAACGGCAAACACAATTCTTCAAGCTAGCGACAAGGTACACTGAGTTCGACAAAGCTTACGGCAAGACTCAACCTAACTATAAAGCCACCCCTTATATACCCTAAGAATAATTCAATTTACAGAAGCTGATGATGCGCAATGATGCAATTGTCATGTGATGTCCTGCAATGAATGGGAACCCTGTGTTCTAACAAACGGATAAAAAAGTATCCGTTTGTGCCTTGCGTTCACAATGCTCCACCTTGAAAACGGAGACTTTTGAAAACGCACTTTGAAAATGGAGACTTTTGAAAACGGAGGCTTTTGAAAGCGCAAAAACACAGTGTGAACACCGAAAACGGATATATTTGAAAATGCTAACAACAGCAACAACACAGCAAGATACTTTGACCGCGCTAATTTGAACAACTTTTCTTAACATGGCTGATTCACTCGAAGTTAGCATACTACTCGGAGGAATATAAGTGGCAGTGAGCTGTTTGAAAAGTTTATTGGCAGTTCAAGTGCTGTAAACCAGCTCGTGGCGTTTTCCTTTTTATCCAGAGCGGATCAATGTGAGCGCTTCATCGTTTTCATACCGTTTTCTAATGTATCCGGAGCAGTGTGAACAGTTAAAACGGATCGATACGAAAACGGATAAAAATGAATACGGAGCAATGTGAACATAGCCTAAGCTAATGTCCAATTAGTGTCCTAAAATTATGATACACATAAAATTAACCAATGAACATTAAGACACGGATCAAATATCAACAGAACTGTTTAAAATTATCAAATAAGCAGCAAAGCAAGCATCAAGCGAATACATAAAAATGAAATGATTAGAACGTGATCGAGTCAAAGGTCACTTCCAACCTAACGGCGCCTCTATGCGTTACAAATAAAGATTTTTTGCAATGCTCCATGTACATTTTCATGCCAAGTCGCCAATAGAATTTAAACAAATCTGGGATCCGAATTCTAGCTTTTTCAAAAGTTAAGTGTTTGGAATTTTCGTTTCGAGTAATGAAGGTATTTAACTAAATCTCATATTTTTCCTATTTTGTTTCTTAAAACAATTTTGTCTAATTATAAGTGGGTATACTTGCAAAAACTGAAATTCGTTTTTGTCGTGAACCAATGTAAAAAAGCGATCAACTATAGTCATTCTAAAACTGAACGTTGAAAATGCCGAAGGAATTTTCAGAAATAGATTATGGATCATTCAGAAGAATAAAAAACTAAAAAAGAAACAGCTGATTAGTGATTTCGATAATCAAAATATTATTACACGACTTTCGGTGCCCAAAATACCAAACTTGCATTCAGTGGCGAAGTCAGGTTTGGCTGGACGGTCAGGCCCTTTTTGCCCACGTCCAAACTTCTAATTTGTAAAAATTTATTCATCGTGGAACAATTTCCAGGGATTATTCATGGTGGAACAAGGGCATTCTCTTTTTCTTGGTTTGCACCAGAATCAGTGGAAGTGAGAATTTTATAATTGAATGCAAAAACAAGATAAATTATTAGACTGTATTCTTCTTTCAATGAATCAAGAGCTACCTCTATTACATGAAGATGTCAAGATTGGAGGATGTTCTGTTGCTCAATGATTCTGCATTCCTACCCGGAACATGCCTTTTGAGATCTGCATCTTTCTCTTTCATTTGAAATGCCTACGATTAGCTTCCAAAGTTTTTGAACCACGACTGCATTCTGTTGATGTCTTTGGCTAGCAATGTTCATTTATTTCAATACTTTCCATTGTTTGAAAACTTGAGGCATTATACTATGCTATTGTTTGGTGATAAAAATTCTTTTTCAATCACGGGGCACCACTGTACTACGAAACAGCGACAAAATGGCTTGCTTGCATCTTGTGTTGCCGTAAATTATGATCACAGAATTGACAACAGTTGATCCTTCTATTAGAAACGTACATGTAGCATAGAGAGTTCCAAAAGTTTCACCAGGTTTAGCTCTTAATTCAAATTCATAAAATTTGTCAACAAGTGCAATGGCAGTAAAGGGCAAATAGCAAATGAAAATGGCCACCAACACTAAACGGATGGTTCTCACAGCAGAAAGTTGCCCTGCCTGGGAATCACCATTCACCACTCTTCTGTTATTGGTGCTAAGACCGTTGTTGTTAATTTGTTGCAATCGCGTCTGTGCATTGATTTGGTGCTGTTGGAGTTTTCTATACATTTTTGTGTATAGAATGGTCAGTCCGGACATTAGAGAAATGTTCAAAAAAGCAATTGCTACATACTGCCAGAAGGAATCTAGAAGTATATGCGTTATTGTAAATACAGAGGAAATCACGAAGCAGCCCATGACTAGGACAACGAGTCGACGTCCGTTTGAATCCGATTGGTATAGCCTTGGTTTGGTGATATGAATATAACGATCGACAGCTATACAGATCAATAACAGACCTGAATTTAAGGTCACAAAATGTGCCAGTATGTAGATTGCTTTCATAATCCATGCATCCAGTGTAATCTCATTTAGCGCATGTAAAGCCTGGACTGGTAGGACAAGAACTCCAATGCATAAATCAGAGATGCTCATTGACATTATAAGCTTGTTGGAAACATTTTTGAGCTGGTTGGATTCATGTAGTCCATAGATCAGCAAAGAGTTTGATGTGATGTTTAGAAGAGAGAGGATTATAAAAGCAGCGGAGATAAATATAGCTACGTACCAATTTTGCATTTTTGTACCAGTGCTGAGTTGATGCTGCAATTCTCTTTGATCAAGCTGTTTCGAGTTTCTTTAATCGAATGAAATTGTCTTGCTGGATATGTCTATAAGTTCACAATTATAAAATTATTAAGAACAATAATTCTCTCTTTGGCAGTCGGAAATGAGAAAACTCTCCTTCCCCGCAACGCTTTGAGTAAAAATAACGTTTGTGATGAGATAAACTTCTTTTAGATTCCTTTTTCCTCAACATGCCTCTAGAGATCAGCTTTGAAAAGATCAGATTTGAAGAGATTAGATGTTTATATATAGCATTGGGTTTGTTTAACTAATTCATTTGAATGTTTAATTCCCGTGAACAATAATTTTTTCGACTTTTTCTTAATTACAAGAAGCAGAAATACGGAAATTCTAATTTGTTTGTCATCAATTTGTAATTCATTTAAAAGCAGCATTCAATGTTTACCCTGCTACCACTGTTTTAGAAAGATTTGAAAATCTCAGTTTGGTCAATTCATTTTGAAGCGCCCCTGAAACCTTTTAATTAGCTCAGCTCTACTTCTTTGTCCAAGCAAGTTAATTAGGTTTTGTTTATTTTTGTCTCATTCATTATAGTTTTTTTCTTGGAAATGCTTAGCAATAGACCAAAACATCGCGTTTTCTTGCTTTCCTTTATGACTAACTGCGAGGTAGCATCGAAGGACCTTAAATTTGAAGGTTTTTTTCCTTGCCGGAAATGTGTAGTCAATGCTTCATTCCCGGATAGCAGACAAATTATCTTCGAATCTGGGATGATCACAATTGAAGCTAAGACTCATTCTAGAAACTTAAATATTATAAATGCTGTATTCAGGTTTACAACAAGAGCACTTTCATTTTTTTACAATAAAAGACACGTTGATTTTACGTCCATCTAATACCAACAGAATCAACTTGAACGCTAAAATCTTGAGAAGTTAAGTTCAACTACTCATCTGTTTTCACAGTTTCAGTTGTTTTTGTTGGTAACAGCCTTCGATAGGCCGAAAATGTTTTCTTGATTTGTAAGCAACATTAATCTATATTCATGTCATTGGAGCCAACTTTCTTCAATATTACTTTACGATGCCTGTAACGAAAAAGCATCAACTGTATAACAATTCGAAATATGGAATGATAGCCACTAAATTGATTTGTAATTTTCAGAATTGAGATGATTCTTACAATTTTTGTAAAGTATGATTTGATAAACTTGTGTTGAAACTTCATTCAGCTGTTCTAAGGCAGACATAATTATTGTTCCGGGTTTCGTGATATATTTTGACCTGCTTACTGAAGGCTGTGTGAAGGTAACTCGTCTGTGAGATGAATTTTGTGCCCAGATATAATCTTGGGTTTAATCCGTCCTTGCTCTTGTCTGCTTCAAAGGCTCTTCCGCAACCGGCATGCTTTGCGACCATGTTTTTAAAACCGGCCTAATATCATACTGCATGAAAATACAAAAACAACAATCGATTTCTCAAGACAGCTGCCGCTAAGAGTGCCAGTTGAGAAAGAGCCTTTAAGAAGAAGAAAACAATGTTGCACTGAGCCCTTTTAATATAATCAACTGAAGCCGTGTTTTCGTGTAATTTCCAGATCGAAGCGAATGCTAAATTGACTTTCTTTCAACAGTAGCTGTAATGGAGTCCCAGATAAAGAACAAAAATGAAGCAGCCTTTTCATCAACGATTTTTTCCACTTTTTGGAAATTATATTACAAAATGGCTCTTTTTAAAATGTTGTTTTTTTGAGCACCTGTTACCACTTAGTTCTACCATTTATCAATTTGATTGGCTCACGGTTGTCATGGTGCTATTTGACTGACTTGAAACGGCCAGAATATTACTTAACTCGTTTGTAACCCAGAACAACCTTTGCGCTGTTGCCCCCAGCAATCTTCCACAGTGTTCAAGGTTGCAGCACAGAAACATGTGGACTTCGGCAATGAACTAATGGGTAAATTACTGCAAGGGATCCCTAATGTCCTATAAGCTGATAAAACTATCGTCCTTTGGCAGGAAATATCCAAATTCAACAAAATGGCCATCGATTCTAGATATGCTAAGGAAAATAAAAATATAATTTTTGAAACAAAAACGAATGGACAAAGTAACAAGTTTAATAGTCACCAAACTTCTTAGCTAATTTTAAATCCTCACCAAAATATTCTAGCTAATTATAAAAAAAACAGTCATACATATTAATTTATATAAACATATATGCATATGACAAAACTTAACTCTGTGTTACTAAAGCATTTTTGGACTTGGGCACATAAAGTAAAAATACCTAACAAATGGTTTAGTACCTAGTAAACTTACGACATTAAATGGAGCCTAGTACAAATTTTCACCTTTCCACGAGGAGACCTGGACTGGAAATTCTTACCTGAAAAGATTCGTGTGAAGATCTCTTTGATACAACAAGAAACAAGGAACTTTTATCGATAAAAATATTCCACGCTTTCAAAATTCAAATTGGGCCAGCGATAACTTCAAAACACGCATACTGACATAACATTGCATAAGAAAACTTTTTAAATGAGAAAGAACCCTAACTTTTAGAATTGCTAGCTGCTGGACACTCATTTGGCGGTTAACGTTGGATCAATGTAAGCACATTTAAACATTGTTTACATTTTTATATTCTATAAAGGTTTTAGCTAATACTGATGCTTTTGTGATAATTGGTAGGAATATGCGAATAAAATATTAGCTTTTAAAGCAAAATTGACGACTGCATTGAAATATTTCTTACAAAACAACATCATTTTTGAAGGAGTTCTTCTTTCTCTAGTGTCATGGCATTGAATGCTGAGGATGGATCGTGGTGGTGCAAACTCCATTAATCTCCTATCTCCTTCTATCCTTGTTCTCATCCATTGCTAACACCCAACTTCGTGTGAAAGGGTAACCCACCTTTAATGCTCGACGTGAAATGAAAAATGATTCAGCTGTTTGTTAGAGTTTTTTTCCAACAACTTGCTGGCTGGTCGTTTTGGGTTAGCTGCTTATATTATATTATCTTTTGAAGTAGTATTTTAATTTAAGATCTTGTCCTTACGTTTATGCTGCCGAAGAAGACTGGAAAAGAAAACACTTCATATTTGTTTTACGACAAAACTTACAGTATACAAACTTACTCTAAGTTTAGAAAAAGTCCTATTGGCATACAAAATGACACGTTCAAGACCAAAGGGATCAAGTCGAGGCACGTGGCCATTTACGAATACATAGATAGGAAAGGGCTTATGTTTAGGAAAGAGCGTTGCATAAATTCCATGCGGCCTGTTTTAGTCTCTTGTATGATTACATTAAAAGACATTTCCTCGTACAGGAGAACTCGAAAATGAGGCAATGCCGGATCCACATGAGAAGAAGAACCACGGAATTAACTGGATTCACTTTTTTCACCTGATGGTGAGTTCATTTGATATTTTCAAAGTTTTGTGAGACTTGCGACTTCAATGAGACAAGCATATTCAATAATAAATGTTGAAAAAGGGCCTTTCTATCTTCATATGCTCTTCATATGCTGAGGTTCTGTGAATATTGTTGATGCATTTTTTGGAATTTGATTCATATACTAGTCTGTTTGCTCGTTTTCTGGTATCATCTAAATATGCAAACAATCTTTTGGTGGTACAAAATTTGTAAATGGCTTTGAAAAAAGCAAACATTTAGTAAACTAAAGCTTTTCGTCTGACACTCTTCAGAGTTTAAAACGTGAGAACATAGATCGAAAACTCTATCCTAGGAAAAATATATACCCTATAAAGATTGGAGGATAGAATAAAACAACATGTTCCGTCTAATATTAGAAACAAAACCCATCCGCAAAGAGAACAGCCACCTCGGTCTTGCAAATCTAAAATTACAACTAATTTTAGAATTAAAACCGTTTTTGTTTTCAATTCAAAGTTATTCATCATATTTTTTTATTTTTATAATAAAAATAAGGGATTGACACTGAGTATTTAAGTTTCTAAATGCTTCTGAAAATTCAAATTCTCGCCTGCTTCTTAAGAGTTTCCTAATTTTGATGCCATTAATTTCCAAATTTTGGGGTAATATATGTTCAATCTTGTAATTTAGGGAAAATCATTTTAACCGGAAACAATTATAACAATGTATAGATGACTACTCAAGTCAGACTCACAATTTTTTGAATCATAAACAAAGAAAAATACCAGCAACATTTAAGTAGAACATAACAAAGACTAGAGCATCATCCACAACAACAGCAACAACAATTACAACAACGACAGCAAAAAAGATTTTTTAATACAAAAATTAAATCTTCATTTAAACAAATACAAAAATTCCAGCAGGTATGTTACCCAGCAGAAACTTGTTGAGGAGTTATTCCGCAGCTGCAAACAGTGAGACTTATGCATGTATCTGATCCTTTAAATATTCGTAACAATTTTGTGAAAGGATTTTCGTTTGAATGCTTCAAAAGGATCATGGAAGCACATTCATATTGCTGCATGTACATTTTCATGCCAACCCGCTTATAGAGTTTAAAAAAAATGAGATCCGAGTTCTAGCTTTTTCAAAAGTTGAATGTTTGGAATTTTTTGCTTTGAGTAATGAAGGTATTAAACTATTTCTCATATTTTTCCAATTTCGTTTCCTCAAACAACTTTATCTAATTATAAGTGGGTACATATGCTAAAACTGAAATTTGTATTTGTCGTGATTCAATATAAAAAAGCTATAAACTATAAACATTCTAAAACTGAACGTTGAAAATGCCGAAAGATGTTTCAAAAATAGATTATGGATGATTGAGAAGAATAGAAGAAAAAAAAGAAACAACTGATTAGTAATTTTGGTAATCAAGACATTATTACATGATATTCGGTGCACAAAACACTAAAACCTGCATTACCAAAACATCATGCAAATGTATTGCAAATGTATTCTAAACAGTTTTTGAGGATCTGAAATTATTGAACTCAGTTTACTTTTACTGACATAATCTATGATGAATAAATGGTTGATAATAATCTTTTGCAACTGCCTAAACTGATTGTAACGGACACTGAGACCGAATACATATTTTTATTAGAAACAGCAAAGAGAATTTATTCGTCAAATATATAGCAGAAAGCTGTCCTGTAGGGGAATCGCCATCACGAACTCCATTGTTGTTGCTGTTGTTATTGTTGTTTGCTTGCTGCTGTCGCATACCTACGTTTAGTTGGTGCTTTTTTAGAGTTCTATAAATGACGAAGTATGCAATTGTAGACCCGCAAATAGCGATCGTATTGCAAATGGCAACAGCTAGATGCTGCCAAAAGGATGCTAGAAGCATGTACGATGCTGCTATAGCTGCTGCAAATAAAACACAGCACACGACCAATAAAGCCAAACGAGATCCGCCTACATCCGATCGATAAAGCCTTGGTTTAGTGATATGCATATAACGATCTGCTGCTATACAAATCAGTAACGCACCTGATGTGTAGGTGAAGACATTGGCCATGAAAAGTACTGTTTTCAAGGCTTGATATTCTATTCTTTGTACTGAGTCCACAGCATAGACTGGAAACACAATAACTCCCAAGCATAAATCAGAGCCACTCATTGCCAGTATCAGCTTGTTTGAAAAATTGTTTAGCTGCTTTGATCGATGTAAACCATATATTAATAGTGAATTTGATATGATGTTTAGAAGGGAATTCATAACATATCCAGCAGTTTTTAAGATTATTACGTATATGTTTTCAATTTCGCTACCACTGTGAGCAATTGACGGTTGTCTATAAATCAGCTATCGATCGATTCGGTGATATGCTTTCAGTTTCTTAAGTTAATGAATTCAAATAGGAGAAAATGGAGGTTATGGTCTCGTGAGAGATTTAACGTCCTACCTCAATCATTGTCAACAGCGAAAACTGTCGCTTGAAAACATTAAGTAGAAAGCACCTTGATTTTCGGGTTTCTTTCATATAACTTGTTTACTTGTTATTTTGTAAATGGATTGGAACTTCTCAAACATTGCTTTAAGAGTTTTTGAGCTTGTTTACTCGTAATCAATAATCCGAATTACTTTTCCCTCATTGCACAGCGCAATATTCTAAAATGGCCTTCTTTTTTTTCTTTGTTTGCATTTGAGTCGTTGGAAGTGAGCAAATGATGATTGAATGCATCAACAGGATTATTTATTAGACCGTATTCTTGTTTTAAGGAAGCAAGAGCTACCTCTATTACATGAAGATGCAATAATTCGTTGTCTGAGAAATCAATTGGAGGAATTTCTGAGCCCTCTTGCTCAACAACTCTAAATTTCTACCCAGAATGTGCCTTTTTAGATCTGCGTCCTTCTCTTTCATTTGAAATGCCTACGATTAGCTTCCAGAGTTTTTGAGTCATGACTGCATTATGTTGATGTCTTTGGCTACCAATTTTCATTTATTTCAAGACTCTCATAGTCCTTATGCTATGATATTGTGTGGTGATGTCACTGCTGTAACAAACTCCCAATATTCCACTGACCTCCAAATAACCATCAAATGGCTTTATCAAACGCATTCAGTTGATCATAGGTCCAATAGGAAGATTTTAAAACAACTATCAGTCCAACGATTTGCACTTTTCATTTCTTCCAGAGTAATAACAGCTTAATTGTATGATATTTTTGGCATGAAATAATCGATCGTGTTTATTTATACTACATTTACACTATATAATTACACTAAACTTGATTTTGCAACAATCAACTGAAATGCAAAGGATCATATGAATTTTCCTTCTGACACTTTTCAGAGTATAAAACGTCAGAACATAGATCAAGAACTTTATGCTAGGAAAAATATCGACCCAGTTGTGGATCGAAATAGGCCAATTAGAAACGCGACCACATGACTGTTGAGGTTGCCCAATCAATGCAGCTTGACTATTGAAAATGTTACCAATGGAGTCCTAAGGGGAACACGGTCTCCTTCTGTTAACACAAGAGTGGATTTTTCAGTTTATGTAGATATAGACTGTTTCCTATTCTGTTTCTAATACTTCCATCCGTCCAAAAGTGTTCCGCTATCCATGAGTTTACGTGCCAGCGTGATTTTGGCTACCTTGGACGGACCACCCAAAGATTGGGGGATAGAATACAACAGCATGTCTCTTTCAGCATTAGTAACAAAGCTCTTCCCCAAATAGAGCAGCCTCGTCGGTCTTGCAAATAAAAAAAAACTAGTAAAAAATGCGATTCCGCTATTGGGAAGCCAATTGGGCAACCTAAACAGTCATGGGCTCGTGTTTCCGACTGGCCTATTTCGATCCGCAACTAGATATATATATATTTCCTAGCGTACAGTTATCAGTCTATGTTCGGATGTTTTATACTCTGAAGAGTGTCAGACGAAAAGCTTCATTCAGCATACTCAAATGTTTGCTTTCTTGAAAGCTATTTTCAAAGTGATTGTCAGAAAAAAAACTCGAAGATTAAGCTTGATTTAAGATGTTCTGAAATAGATACATTTACATCTGTGACTGTCGTGATCAGAATAAGTTTGCTCGAAAATTTTCGAATTTTTTTTGTTTGATTTGTGCAGTGTGGAAATAAAGAATTAGCCATCTTAGTTCTGAAGAATATGAAACAGTTTTGATGCGAGTTCAGTTAAGTGATTGGTTAGGATTCTCCTCTATTGGCACTAATGCTGATAAAAATTCTTTCTCAATCACGGGGCACCACTGCGCCACGAAATAGCGACAAAACGGCTCGCTTGCATCTTGTGTTACCGTAAATAATTATCACAGAATTGATGACAGTTGATCCTTCTACTAGAAAAATACATGTAAAATAGAGAATTCGAAAAATTTCACCTGGTTGTGATTTCAATTCGAACGTATAGAATTTGCCAATAGTTGCAATGACAGTATAGGGCAAATAGCAAATGAAAATGGCCACCAACACTAAACGGATGGTTCTCACGGAAGAAAGTTGCCCTGTCTGGGAATCACCATTCACAACTCTTCTGTTGCTGTTGCTTAGGCTGTTGTTGTTAACTTGTTGCAGTCGCGTCTGTGCGTTAATTTGGTGCTGTTGGAGATTTCTATGCATTTTTGTGTATAGAATGGTCAGTCCGGACATTAGAGAAATGTTCAAACTAGCAACTGCTACATACTGCCAGAAGGATTCTAGAAGTATATGCGTTATTGTAAAAACAGAGGAAATCACGAAGCAGCCCATGACCAGGACAACGATCCGACGTCCGTTTAAATGAGATTGGTATAGCCTTGGTTTAGTGATATGAATATAACGGTCAACAGCTATACACATCAGTAACAGACCTGAATTTACGGTCAAAAAATGTGTGAGTAAGTAAATTGTTCTTATAATCCATGCATCCAGTGTAATCTCATTCAGCGCATGTAAAGCCTGGACAGGTAGAACAAGAACTCCAATGCAT